TTCTACATTGCCCCAGAAAAAGGTTGCAAGCTAAAACTCTGAATGTAAGAATGTAATCTGAATGTAATGTATTGTGTAACTCGCTGTGTATTTAAATATGTAATTCACTAATTGTATGTGAACAGTATGGCAAAAGGTGATCTAGAGAATTTGGATCCCAGAGGCAAGTGCTAATAAGCCCATAACATTCTTTGGGCTACTGCACTCCTATGCAAATGATGAAGATAAGGGCCTCAGGAAGGTCAGGAAGCGAGAATAATATTAGTAACTCCAAAATATTTTGTGTGTTTTAGACTTGTGTTTCTGTCCTTGTCAAACTGCGTGCACAAAAAGCAGTAGATAAAACTAGTGGAGTCATTGTGAAGTTCGAAAAGTGTTCTTGAAAAGTGTTTTTCCCCATATGTAATGAGCTTTTTGTGGAAGTGATACCAAAAGCATAATTCTCCTCGAATACTGCTGCCCTGCACTATCCTGTCAATGTTATTTATACTTGCTATTAATAACTCAACTTCCAGCTTGTACTTTATTTAGGTTGCCTATAGTTTCACATGGGAGAGCGCTGTCCCGGTTTGTTCCATGACGAAATGAGCAGCATATGCCAAAGTAAACAAAACAAGCGTGCTTAATCTTTTTATGTAATCATATACATGCAAAAAAGCAGCGCAAAACACTTTCCAGACAAAACAACATCATGGAGTGATAGTAAACAGGACAGAGTCGCTTAAATAAAGTGGAGATCTGACTTTGAGCACTTTCTTTTGTTTCAGTCTCTTGAGATGGACATTTGGACAAGTACACACATCGGTCACAGACTGTGCAATGTTTGCAGTGTTAAAGGGGCGACGGGTGACAGAATCAAAAGCATTTCCAAATTTTCTGTGTCAACACCCGTCCGTTTGTTGACTGACCAGGCTCCAGTGTGATATGTTACAGGACAGGCTCCGAGTGCCTAAAGGTTCGCTTGAACTTGAGTTCAAAGTCATATCCGAGATTTCACTCACGCTGCTTTCAGTTCTTTTTGACAGTGAAAAACAAATCAGGGTACTCGCATTGCAGTGGTAAAGAATGTAGCCCAGTCACTTTGCCTGCTCCTACCCCATTTATCTCTCTAGAAATATGAAGCAGTGTCAACTTAGGCACATCCCCCCATCTAACAGCCTCAAATTATGTGTTAGCATAAGAAAAAAAACTCTGGCTTTAGGAATTAATGACTGATTTAAGCTCTTCAGTCTACAGTCCTGTATTTGGAACATTTATGCGTGCACATGAATTTATTGTATTGCAAAGAGCTCCCTCTACTGAAACCTTGCATATGAGAAGAGCAGTCAAAAAACTGTGCTCAGATTACTCAGATGGAGAACCTACTCTCCTAAAAATCTTATACAAATACAAATGTGATCAGATTTAGCGGATTTTTTTTTACCATCAAATATTTCACATCAGTGAAGGTGATCATAGTGAGTTAGAAAGCAAACATGACAAAACTACAACGCTATATGCTGGTATTTAATGCTGAAAGTAATAAGCTTTCTTAGCATGATGGATGCCTTTTAATTTCTAATTTAGTTGATGTTTTATTTAAAGTAATATGTACAAATTGTGCAGACGAAGCCATTTGGGGTTTTTTGTGTCTGTAAATGCACAAACAGCAGACCATTCAAGGTCAAGTCCGAGCATGATCGCTTAGCGTTGCGGCAGCCAGAGGAGTTTGACACAGTGAGCAGCTCATGACATTCAAGACCGGGAGGAATAATTTAGAGGCCTTGTAGTCAACACACACATACACACACAGAGCAGCTGACTAGTTGTTAAAAAGAAGGACTGGGTCACTGCACACTTCAAGACCTACTGGCCTCAAGTGTTACTTATACACGAGCCCCTGGCGTGTTCTGGGTAAAGTTAGGTTTGACTGAAACAACAATGCATTGACTCTAAATGTGATCTTTTGTGAGCGCTAGCTTCTCTTGCATACTTGGCTTATGGTAAATTTTGATTATATATGCAGTAATGTGAAAAAGTCAGAGACTTGTTCATGTATTTAATTTCTAGGCAAAACAGCTATGAAGTACTATTTAACAGAAAACGACTCAGAAGCACCTGAACAACTAAAAAATACCAAAAGTTTTATTATTTAGTGTGTCTATTCTTTGCCTTTATTACAGCTTCTGTTCTTTTCAGGAGACTTTTCGTTCAGAAATGTTTTTCCACACCTCCAGGGTTCAGTCTTAGAAGTTGGTTGCATTTTCTGCTTCTCACGATCCAAATAATCCAAAATACATTCAGTGATGTTGTGGTCTGGACTCTGGAGTGGTCAGTCTATTGTTGTGTGAACACGAGCAGCTTCTTGATTTGATATGAAAAACTTCTTTCCTTTTTTCAGTATCTCAGTTCTTTATAGCTACACATCCTTTTAGACTAATAGTGTTGGGTTGTCTTCTCACAGTGGAAGGATGGACAGACGTGGTGGATTTTTCCAGATCTGAAAAGTGCAGTGTGATTTTCTATCTGTCAAAAATTAAAGAACTAGCATGGCAGTTTTGGTGGTCTACCAGGTCTTGCACAGTTGTTAGGAGTCTCATTGTCTCTGTATCTTTTTTCACGTATTTTCTTACATGTGTCAAGTGGGTTGTCTTGCAACTTATCTCCTCAGAAATCTCTCCTGAAAATGAAAAACTTGTACTCAATGACTCAAAGGTTTTGACTGGAAATTAAATAAATAAAGGGTGGTCTCTTGACTTTTGCGCAGTGCTGTAAATATGTAATAAAAGTAGTGTATCTTCTGAAAACTCAGATCTTGGCGGACTACACATCCCATTTCCTGCACATGCACTCAGAATCCTCTGAATAGAGTGAAAATGAATGTAATGTAGGCTCTGAAAGGGGAAGCAGAAGCCTAATGTACCATGTTTTCCATTGGTTAATATTTAATGAAATGTTGTGGACATTGTGGTGTAAGGTATTGTGACATATGGATCGAAAGCTTGTGGCGTAATTACTCCATCTCTTGCTGCTCCAGCTTACCGGTGGCCTATCTGGTGAGTGTCGTCACAGTTACATCACCTCCATCCTAATTAATCTGTAATTCACCCTGTCAGCTCCGGGCTCCGGTAGCGCGTGTGTGGCCTAGACTGTAGCTGAGCTCTGAGAGAAGTGTATATTTCAGTAATCCCAAGATTTACCCAGGGGTGATCTCACGTATATGTTTTTTTTCTTTCTGTTCTAATTTTAGCTTCACAGTCTTTTTAAATTGAATAATTCATATTAATTATTTAATTTTCTTTTAGATTGAACTCACTGAACCTCACTGGCGTATTCCTAAGATATGACCTTTTGCATGTTTTTTTTTCCCACACCAAAACAATTCATTTCAGGTAATCACCTTACATCTCTGGCATAGTTCCTCAGATATGACCTTTTGCATGCTTTTTTTTTTCATCAGGACAAGCAGGATTATCAAGTTGCATGTTCTGTACATCGTGCTTCAATGGTTATGTTCTCTTAGTCAACAATTTTGGCAGTTACTAGATCACGTAGCCCTCTTAGTTTCTGTATTAGTTTCATGTGAAGCACATTATTCTATAGATAACCTCATAGGCATTACTTTGAATTCAGCATTTAACTGAAAGAAAAAAAATAAGCTTGATTATGTAGATAGCTCAGGAGTAAATTCACCTTTTCCTCTTAACTGTCGTTCTGTAAGGCAGAGACGCTTCCATATTGAAACTAACATATTCTTTGGTTATTTTTTCTCACCTTTGAAATGTCAATCATGATTCAAAGCCTGTTTTGCCTTCACACTTCCACCCCCACTGTAGCTTTTTTTTTTTCCTCAGGCATTGATTGCATTGGTCCTTTAATATTGGTGACAGCTAATACACTTCTAAATGATCAGTTATTATCTCTGGGGCCTCGTTCCATGTGCCCCGCTGTTTCCAAAGGTCATCCTTCTGTCTTCCTGTATCGACCTGCTCGCCCGGTAACATGGACTGGGCCTTATTGAAAGTGAAGGCTGAGGAGCATATTTCTATCAGGTTGCAGTCAAGTCTTTCAGGAGGCAGCTTTTAAAAGGCTCTTTGACTCCAGGTCCATTCAGTGAATAGGGCAAAATCAAGAAACATAATGGATATTCTGGTAGTAAAGAAAGTCACTTAAAATACACATAGGTTTGGGAGTGAAACTGGCTAACCAGTATTTATGTAATTATATTAATAGGAGTAATATACATGTAGAATACTGAGATAACTATATGTCTTTACATTCATAATCTGTTAGATAAAATGGACAATAAGGCTGCATGTAGGGGTTGTTTTCACAATGTTACAATATTTTGCAATATTTTGTTTTTCTAAGGTTTGCTAAATTGGAACAAACGTAATGCAAATACTATGAAAAACTATGAGTACAATGACTTTTGTTTAACAATTCACATACTGTGCTACACTAAATTCAATTTAGTGAAAATCCTATTTGCAGTTGTTCAGTGTTCTGCAAGTACTGATTATATCCACAGTATGCTCAGAAAAACGATTTGTGACTTAGGTTATTAAGATATGAAATTCTATTGTGATATTGCCTACCTCTATCTGCACTACATGGACAAAATACTGGGATTGTATTAGTACTTATTGTGATTATCTGTCAATAATGTGACATTGTTCATAATGAACTTGCATTATTTTGACTAAAATAGTTGACTGTTTGTGGATTCTGTGAATCCCTTAATTCACCAAAATACCCACAGAAACACTTGTTTGAATCAGGACACAGTAAAACTGTTGTGATTGATTAGAAGGCTCATTAGCATATCACAGCCTTCAGCAATATGAGTATTGCCAGAGCCAATATTGCAATAACAATTAACAAACAATATATTGAGCAGTTGAGCAGCCCTGATGGATAGTTGTTTAAATATTAGATGTTGGGCAGAATTAGTATGTATATAAGCATCATATTCTTAACATTTTGTCTACAACTTATGCTTTTCTTCTGTTCTTTCACAGCTGTATGAGCTGGATGATGATGAAAAAAGAAAAGAATTTCTCGACGATCTCTTCAGCTTCATGCAGAAAAGAGGTAAGACCTGTTGTTCTCTACAGATTGTATCACACTCAAATCACCCAAGGATAATTACTGCAAATTAAAGTGCAAAGTCTTGTGACACATTGGTGACTTAAGGCATTGTGAATGTATCTGGTGCTTTCATAAAAATAGATAGTGACAAGTTCTTAAACCTGATTGGCTGGGATGTGTTTGAAGCAGCTGTAAAATACTCAGTAAAAACACATACATGACTCATATGACATTTCTTATTATCTACAATAGAATCTAGAATGTCTTAAAACAGACCTGTAGAAACAAAGAGTCATAAATGTGTTCACACCACAGTCTTTTCAACAATAGATAGCTGAGCTTCATTGTTTGAGTAAAAACTCAGATTGTATAGATGGAATTGTGATAGCTAGTTTGAGTTTCCTGCTTAAAGCTCAGTTCCAGCTCTCTGAAGCGTGGTTGCTATCACAGTGGCATGGCTCACTATTAATGCTATCAGAAACAAAGAGTTGCTGCTGTTTGTTTCATAATTATGCTAAGATTATATGAAAATGGCCCAGAGGGGAAGACCTTGCCACAGTGGGGAGGATAACATCCTGGTATTATGTTGGCCTGCCATGGTGTAATGAATTTCCAGCTTCACCGAGCAAAGAGCTACATCACCAGAAAGCTTTCTTTTCCCAGAAAGCAGCTTTAGTAGGCATCAGCCTTTAAAAAGCCTTCCATAATATGAGGAAGTTGGCTACCCAGGAGCAAAAAAACACAGAACTATTTTGAGAGAACAGCTGTTTTTGTTCATTTGTGTGATTACTGGGGGTAAATGTTTGCAAAATACTATTGTTTACACTCTTTATGAAAACAATTATGATTTTGAGCCCTACCTAATAGAATGGGATGTTCTGGATCAGGCTTAGTTCAGCACGACCAATGCCAAGTGTCTGCAAGAGGGGTATAAAGCCACCCAGCACTGGGCTGTGGAGTAGTGGAACTGCCTTCTTTGGAGTAATACCTTTGGGATGAGTTGGAATAGCGCTTGTGATCCAGAATTAGTCATCCAACATCAGTATGTAAGGTGATGTACAGTACTGTGCATAAGTCAAAGACTACCCTTTCATTTATTTGGTTTCCAATCAAAACAGCCAAAAGTATGTTAAATACAATTTCAGTTTTTTTCTGGTATTTAGTGTGTCGACCCTTTCTCTTCATTACAGCTTCCATTATTTTCAGGAGATTTGCTTTCAGTTTTTCAAAGAAATCTAGAAGGGATTTTTTTCACTCATTCAAAGTTCAGTTTTAAAAAGTTGGTTGGTTGCATTTTGTGTTTCTGATGTTCCATCTAATCCCAAACACATTCAGCGATGTTATGATCTGGACTCTAGGGTGGTGAGTCCATTGTTCTGAGAACACCAGCAGCTTCTTTGATTGATTTGCACTTTTTTTTCTGTTTCCTTTTCTCAGTAAAAGCTTCTTGACAGCTACACATTCTTTCAGACTCATAGTGTTGAGTTGTCTTCTCACAGTGGCACGATGGACAGAATCACCTGTGGCTTTTTTTCAGATCCGAAACAGAAAAGTAGAAATACGTAGGGTCATCATTGATGTTGGCACAGTACTGTATGTACTGTGCTGTATATAAAACGTCACTGTTCAAACAAAGCTTTGTATTGCTGAAATAATAGCTATATAGGAGAAGGAACAAGTTAAGTAAAGATTTTATTCCAGTTGATTTGGACCATTTTAATGTCCATATAATAGTGTAAAAAATAAAACATTTTGATATGACAGTGACAAAATATATCCTGGCTATTAGTTATACATTATGTGGTATGTTGCCGTGACACTGGTTGTAGTAAATGTTTGATTTGATTAGCTAATCATTATGACTTTACTGGAGAATTATTGGTAATTCTTACTGTTCTGTTCCTATTTGTATTGGTTATTGATACAAATGGATAATATGTTAATGGATGCGGTCAGTGTTTTAGTTTTTTAACTGTGGAAGAGCCACAACTTTACTACCAGTATTCCTATCGTCTCTGTTTTCTTCTGTGACTCATAACTAGCAGACAGATGTCATAAAATGCAGATGGATACATGCATCAGTTGGAACATGCTCATGTGAGAAGTGCATGCCACATATTTGACATGGCTTGTTCAGTAATCTGTAAGCATTTAGTAAGTGCACTCAGACAGAGTCACACAAATTCCTTCAGGTGAAGGAGTGGGGGTAAGCTGAGAGAAACCCAGCTCTAATCCATTAATGACAGCTTTGTGTCCCCGAGAGTTGACACAAAATCTCCTTAGGCTGCATATGTATCTATAGTCATGCATTCATAGACCATATAAAATGTGCTCTGGGAGTTGTTGCAACATATCTGTGAATGTTTCAGCTTATTCAAAATGATTGCAACACTGTTTCTGGAGTTGATGCCCAGTGGATGTGACCGTTATAATGTTTGTTGAAATAATATACCATGATGTACTTTTTCACAGTAGTGGAGAGCAGGGCATAAACTAACGTGGGCTAAACTGTAACATGGGTATATTACAGTTTAACTTTAGCCATGTTCTTGCATTCACATAGTGGCATCACTCTATTTATATAGTGTTTATTTTTATGAATATATATTTGTGTTTTTAGGTTGGAAAGCATGTCTGCTGACAGCGTAGAGCTGTATAGAATTTATTGTATTTTTAGTTACTATTACATCTAGCCCCACAGTCTGTTACCCTATGGGGTTAACTCTGTTTGCATTCACTCCATTTTTGGCAGAAATGTTCACAGAGGGTAAATGCTGGAAAAAAAATACAGTTTGCTTGTATAAAAATAAATATTATTTATCTTGCTTAAGTACTTTTAAAATTAGGTGTTATAAAGTCTTTATCTTTATTTTAAAAAAAAGGAAATGACTGGACCATCAACGTATCAAAAACCTCCTACTGAAGGCTTTCTTTGATTTGATTTTATATCTATTATTGTAAGTTATAAGTGGAGAAAACTAACCCAAACTAACCTAAGCGTCTTTGAGTTCTTGAAAAGCGCTATGTAAGTATAATGTATCATTATTATGATTATTGTTATATGACACATGGTACTTGTAAATTTCCTGTAGATCAGTCAAACCAGTCAAAAGCAACCATGTGCTGTGTACATGACAACACAACCTCAAGCCAGAAAAAATGGATACTCATGGCATTAATTTATAGAAAATGACCACAATTGAAAACACAGTATTTATCAGGTAAATCGCAATTAGAAATGGTTCAGCCCTAGTGCCTGCTGCATTAAGTCAAGAATATTAGCCTTTTTTTCTACGCTAAAACTTCCAGCTAGTGTTGTTTTTATATGAGCGTCTTAGGTTAGCTTTTCTCCAGGGTGTCTGATTTATTGACCCTGAAATACAGCTCAAAGCAGGGAGGAGCTAGTCAAAAATCAGCTCTGTGTCCTGTGGTCAAATGTCTGATGACAGGAATGTGGGGGTCGTTTTTATCATGGCTGGTGCTGTTGTTGCACCATTGGCTAATCCAAGCAAGACAGGCAGTTAGGAGTCGCTCTGTCTAGTGATGCCATGCCATAAAAATGTGGGAGTGGATAACTCCTTTTCACTTCAGCTCATGCATAAAGACAAAATTTAATGAAAACTCTGACGTCACTTAATGTCAGACTGTACAAACACTCATCAAAAATCAAAACAGACTCATAAATGGGCTGTTTTTGAATAGAGGCTTAGCGTTTATTTAAGAGATAGCGCATGCTGTTTTATTTTTATGCTTTTGTACAAATCTGGACATGCTGTGTTACATGTAGCGTTGTCATGATTGCTCAATTAAAAAATGTCCATTAAACCTGACCCTCATGATGAGTCCGCAGTGATGAATTGCATATTTTCTCTGTAAAAAAAAAAGAAAAAAGCTGATGGACACACTTATTTTTAAACTTATTTTTGTATGTTTTATTATCTTTTAGGAACACAAGTTTTTTAAAAGCTTTTTGTATATATTTTTCATTAAAGTAAACCATAAATCTTAAGTCTTTAAAAGACTATGCAAAGCCATAGTTTAGTTTAGTCCATTTGTATTGTTTAATCTTTAGTCCATTTATATTGTTTGAACCATCAAAATAATGATTTAGTGATTTCCTTGATCACGAATATGACCTTACAGCCCCAGCTGTGCAAGGCTGTAGCGGTTTTAATGCTGTCAGGCCTGAAAACTGGCCACATGTTGTCCAAGAAAGTATATGTGAAGCATTACCACTTACAGATTACTTCATTCTGGTTTCTGCTTCACTTTAGGAATATCAGAGATTAAATATTCAAAACAATGTCCATTAATATTATTGATTTTTGCTGCCTCAAAGAATACAATGTCTGGATGAGATCAAGTAAGTTCAGCGTGGTATTGTGTAGGGCGCCATATATTAGTATTCAAGTAATCTGCTCATTATTCTGATGATCAATTAATCAATCAGTTTTTGTTTTTTTTACGTTTTTAAGGCCAAACAATAAATATGCACTGATGGGTACAAAGAGCCTTTCAAAGATTCAAAAACACTTTATTGGAAAAGTATAAACTCTAAAGAAAACACTAAATGGCAGAAGAGTGTACTTTTAGAAAGATCAGTTTAAATGTATCATCATCTTGCAAGTTGTCAGCTAATCACTGGAGATTCATTGAGAAGGTCAGTTTTAAATGATGATTCTTTAAAACTCAAGAGATCACGTTTAATCGAGTAATTGATACAGCTCTAATACAGTGTGACTGAATTGATGTTTGTTACTGAGGTGACGTGTGAGTTGCAGTTGTCACAGCTGAATCATATCATCAGTTTTTAGGAGACATTCCGAACGGTGACAGATCAAAACGAAGCAGATTATATGTTGCTTTGTATCCAATTTGATTGATGGCTACCATGCATGCTATGCTATGCTCTGAGTCAATGTACTGTTTGAATAACCTCCCTATCAAACAAGCTTGGCGGGGCTGAATGACAGCTGCCGGTTCTTTGTGTGAATGATGCTTCG